TTAGGCAGAGTTGGAAAGTTTTCGACAATTGACGATTTTATGTTGTTTTAACCGTCATGTCAAAAAAAAAACAACAACATCCATTCAAATGTCACTATTTTCCTCTACTTTGCTCTGAATATAAAGAGGTTTTTTCCAAACCTCATTTAAGTTATTTTTTCTCTTACTTTGAATACAGATTTAGATCTATGGATGGTGTTTTCGACACTAGTGAGCGCTGCAAGCTGTATGCCACTTATACTTCCGGGTTCCCGGTGTATTTTAAAGCCATTTGGCTCAGAACGTGATCATAGTGTTCTGAGATTCGTGCAAACGTAGTATTTGAATACTTATTACTAAACTTAATGCTCCTCGAACAATATGCTAACTCTAACGTAAGATGGTGCACAAGCTTGCAACAAGAACAAACAGTAATAAACAAATGGAAAGAGGCCAAATCAAGATTGCCAAAAAAGCGAGTTATTCAAAATCTAGCAACCACGTCACCTTTTTTAACACTATATCTATAAATAACTAAAACAAATTATCACTTCAAACTCACCAGAATTACATAATAACATTAATATTTTATGAAATACGGCAGATTTGAGCTCAGAAATTATCGAATTTATTTCTTTTATTGAAAACAAAATGATCCGTTTGAAAATATCGACTCGCAGAATAACAGGTAGTAAGCAGCTGCAAACTTTCTAACCGGAACTAGAGCAGGCATACAGCTCGAGATTGTTATTGTTTACATTTCTACTGAAAACTCCATCCATAGGGAACTAATTCATTTTTTAAAAAAAAAAAATATAAAATTTCAACTTAAACAATATAGTCTGAGAATCTTTGTAAATTTTGCCGCACATATTTTTAGATTCAGCTGGATTGATGTTTGTGATGGAAAATTTGGATTGATGAAGATTCAGAACTGAAATAAACAAATGATGTTTTTTTAGAAGAAAAGAACAACACAATGGAACAGAAGATTAAAATGGCTCATCCCATTCTAGTCTACACTTCTCTCATACAAAAGACATCACAACAAAAATATGTACATCAATCATCTTTTTTTTTTTAGAATGGCCACTAGAAAAAACTAAAATATTCAAAAAATAAAAATCTCATACAAGATAAAATACACACACACTACATTTATTATATCACATCATAGCTCAAATATTTGAGTACAACAAAAGTGAGATTTAAAAAAGAACAGGGTGCGTAGCCAAACAATTCAACAAAAAAATAAGCACCTTTCAAGCACTCAAAAAATATTTTTAAGCACTTTAAAATTTCTTTATCAGGCAGAGTTGGAAAGTTTTGACTATCAACGGTTTTATCCCCGTCATAACAAAAAAAAAAAACCTTCTGGTTTTTGACAATTGTCAAAAATCATGAAGTTTTGTATCATAAAAAAGGAATGGCGTTTTCATGCGCTACAGACTGACAATACGCCGAAATAGATTGGGGATTGAATGAATTGTGAAAATGTTGAATAGAACAATGTGAACTGTGTCTTTTTGCATAATTCGTAGCGAAAATCAACATAGTAACGGAAAAGTGAAGCACTTTTTAAAAACACCCAATGAAAAAAAGCACCTTTAAGGGCTTTTAAAAAATGTAAATCAAAAATAAGCACCTTTTAAAAACGCTACGCACCCTGGAAAAATTCAACATAATTGAGCAACTCAAGAAGATCATCCCTTCAATAACACTAAATAGCATTCAGAACATCTACATTTAATGCTCACTCTAGATTACATCGATTGATGGTAGCGCTCAAGGACTACAATCCTAGCACTATTTTTTAAAAATGCAAATAAATAAATAAAAATTTAAAAAAAAACACAAAAAAGTACCTCAAATTCCTTGAAAACATGTTATACATATTTTTTTAAAACATATTAATTGTAAATTTTATTTGTTAATTTTATATAAAAAAAAATAAGTAATCAATTAAAATAAACATGCAACTTATGAATACAATAAAATGTCAATAAATACATGATTAATAAAAATGTATTGATTTTTCTTTTAAAAACAGTCTTCATGAATATGTTTTCGATAATCTTAAAATAAAAAAAGATTGTCCCAAAAGCAAATTCTTATTGGAGGAAATTTAAAATAACAAAACTTAATACAAATTTTACACTAAGTGATGAAGAACAAAATTTACGAGCAAAGCACTCTTAAAATGAAATATATAATTTTTAATTCATGAAAAATAACTAAAAATGTTAATGTTAAAAAATCACGATTTTAAATTGTTCTTAGTTCTTCAAACAAAATGTTAATGTTGAAAAATCACAATTTTCTATGTAACCAGTTATTTTTATTCGACAGTACAGGGGAAAAAAAGTGACAATAAAGGAATAAAGTCTATCAGAAACACTCTTTTAAAAAATGCCAAGCTATAATGAAAACAGAAAAACAACAAAAATGAGATGGGGAAAAAAAAGAAAAGTCGTTCTCAATTTTAGAAACACAAAGTGTGGAAAAAATGACAAAATTAACTTGCATAAATAAAATTTAAAAAAAAAAAAAAAAAAAAAAAAAAAAAAAAANAAACTGGTGATAAAGTAAGTTGTGAGTAAGGTAAGTTTCAATTCTTCAAATTTCATTCCTGCACTTCTCTTCCAGAGCATAAATTTGAAAGCGCATGAATTTTAGAATACAGTCGGACCTCTATTTAACTGAGTCGCTAAATCCCGATAATAAGTTCGTTATATGGAAAATTCGTTAAATAGAAAATCACCTCTTGAAAAATTTACACAAAACATGTTTTAAATTCATAAAAACTAGAAATAATTGAAATAGCAATGGATACACTTTTATATTGTAAACTAGTATCTACTATTCATTTTACAAATCTTGACCATGAAAGAAATCTGCATGGAAAGCAAGAATAGAGCAAAACATCACACAATCATGCTACATACATTTTCAACTAAAAAAAGCTAAATTTATGTATAAAATTATAGCTGCATTTATTATGAAAATAATTTTAAGCATACATTACAACATGCGATCATAAGTTTAATGGCTACTGATAAAATCCGTTCATTTTGTCAGAGTTTTTTGTTTGAAATGGAAACAAAAAGGGATTTTACTGCTTGCTCTAAAAGTGGCTTCGAAAATCAATTCAAGGTCATTTCCCCCCCATAACATGCATTAAGAAGTTTAAAATGCTCAGAAATATTTTGGGAAATAAGGAAAGTGGTTCTCAAAGAAAGAAAAAAAAAAGAAAAAAAAACAATTCGTTAAATAGAAAATTCACTTCGCTATTTGGAAGTTATTTTACGAAGAAATTTCCAAGATATTCTTGGTTCCTTTAAAAAATTCGCAAAATGGAAGTTCGTTAAATAGAAGTCCGACTGTTTATGCAAAAGCTATTTCTAAGACTGTTTAGTTAGATTTAGTTTAGATTATTCTTTATATTAAATGTTTTTAAAAAAAATTGCTGAATACTTGGACGAATATTTGGCAGAACCGAATAGTATTCCGAAAAAGACCCACAGAATTGAATGTTCGTCACATTCCCAATTTATATGATCCCTACTTCATAAATAAAAATGTGGCTGGTTCAATTCATTCATCTCTTCTGCTTGATTAAATTATCAACTGTATAACAAAAGCAAAAAAAAATATTTTAGAAATACTCTCTTTATAGTATAAAATTGTGAATCATAATTTTCTTGTGATAAATAAATATACAGTAGAGCGCTGATTATCCGAACTCTTATTATCCGAAATATGTCCGAATTCGCTTCTTTTTTTTAAGTTTGGAATACTTTTTAACTTATCTATAATTTTTCTAAATTTAGAAGAATATCCACTACATCTGAAGATCATATTCAATTTACAACCTTTTTTTTAGCAGTTTTCTTATAACATACATACATGTATTGTTATACGGTTAAACCTTCATACCCTTATAGCGCTCTTCAACTGAAAATTATCTTCCAAGAATGCAAACTTCATTTTGACAGTCTAGAACACGGGTGGCGATACATCAACGTGCCATTTTTTTCTAAAATATTGTTTGATGAGGTCATAGACGTGCCATCAAATAATTTTGACTTCGTGATTATTGGGAAAAGAATAATACTAAATACTAAATAAACTCAAAACTCTTTATTTACATTGAAAAAAAAAATTGCACTGTCTCAGTTATAGGCGTAATTCAACTTAAAGTAACATCAGTGTGACTTCTGTTGTTGCAGATTAAATGACAAATAACTTATATTAGGCTGTAAGATGTTAGTTTATGCAGGACTGTTGATTTTTTGCTAGTTACTTATTGTTAGCTTGTTTTTCATGGTTATTAATTGTTTTTTTAGCATTAATTGTTAATTTTTATTATTAATAATTGTTTATTATTTTGTGAATTTTAATTTAATTGTTACATAAGCTTATAACAAATGTGATCGGTGGCGTGCCCGAAATATTGTGTCGGGTGCCATAAATGGGACGCGTGCCATTGGTTCGCCATCCCTGGTCTAGAACATCAAAATGATGTTGATCCAGTTCAGTTGATTTATTTCAAAAAAGAGTAAGGGATCTGGCAGCTCAAAAAAGAGCATCTTCGTTGAAACAAAAGTTTTTGCTGGATTTCTTTTGCAATGGAAAATAAAGAAAAATGTGATAAAATCAGTAATTGACAAAAATTATAAAAAGTTGAAATATGATTTAAAAAAAAAATTCAAAATGAAAAAAAAAAGTAAATAAATAAATAAAAATTGAAGGAAAAAAATAAATCTTTTAAACATGCCAGAGCTATTTTAAATAGTGCTGCCAGTCCTCAGCCGAGAAAAGTGTGAAGGGAAGTGATTGAATAAATAATAATCATTTAAACTAGATTTTAAACTACCTTCCAATCATCCGAAGCACGCCCAGGGTTGCAAAAAACCCACCTGCCCAATAAAACTCGCCCGGGTTTTACTGGGTAAAACCCACCCTAAAGTGGGTTTTACTAAGATTGATTTCTTTTTTTACCCTCTGTTATATTAAAGAGCTATTCTATTGAAATATTTATGTAGTCCAGCCTAAAAAAAATGAACCTATAGTGAAAAAACTAATTGTGTTGGAGAGTCACCTTGCTGACTAGATTTGACTGTATGGTCATTGATTATTCAGAGCCATTTATTCGCTTTCTATGCAAATAAAGAATGTTCCTCAAATATTTTCTAAGATTAAAATATAAATAAAAAGTAATCCTGTGTTAAAATAAGTTTCAAATGTGTAATGTATTTTGTATTGTGATGTCAGAAGAAACGACATCAATTTATTTGTATTAATATCTATATGAAGTCAATTTATAAAATTAAACTTAATTATTAATATTAAAATAAGGTACTTATCCCTGCCCTCTCTTTTGAAAAAGCCCCCATGAAAAAACCCACCCGGGTTTGGGTTTTTCTGGTTTTTTGCAACCCAGACCACGCCCGCCCCCGAGCAGTGCGCTCTACTGTACATTGCTAAAAGTAAAATATTTTCACAAATTATTCGAGTTCCTCTTTAAAAGTTATTTCGCGTGAATGTTATATCTGTATACAATTTGGCAGAGAATTATTTCACGCTAAAAGAAATTCAGTCACATTATATGTTTTCAATTCGAGGAGGTATGCTCTAACTTTGAGATCAGCTAATGAGAATCAAAGCGACACTTATAAACTTATTTCCTTTCCGATCCAAGAATCGGAGACATCATCTTTCGACAGAGGTTCTCTCTCCTCGTCGGCACACACGATGGTGGACGAACTCGTGGCCCCCCCGATCGACGAGTCGGGATTCGGTTCTCCGTGAAAAGTGACACTCACCGTGGGCAGACTGATCTTCCTGGGAGTCTTGCTCATTTTGAAAGGTATGGCACTATCTCTAGTCCTAGTCGGGGCAGAAGACAGACTCTCTGAGCGGGGTCGAATGGACCGGTGGCTGTACTTCTTCTTGAACTTCGGCACGTCGATGTGACCCGCTTTGATGGCGGTCAGGGGTTCCAGTTCGTGGCTCTCGCTGGTCGGTATCTGATTCGGATAGCTCGCGCTGCTCGACGACAGCGTCGACTCGGAGAGGGCGAACACGTTCTTCTCGACGGGGACTGCAGCGGTCTCGCACTCCGAGCAGACGTTGAAAGAAGAGTAGCTCAGTTGCAGGAATTCGTTGACCGGTCCGGCGATGCTTAAAATAGATAAGAAGAAGAAAGTCGAGTAGAGCCAACTGATGGACATCAAGAGGACGAGGAACGTGCCTATTTGCAGGTAGGCTAGGACAGTCGAAGGGAAGATCAGAGCTCCCGCCATGAAGGTGGTGAAAGCCGCCATCGCGACCGGACTGCCGACGTGGCTCAGGGCGAAGACGACCGAGGATTCGCGGTCTTCTTGCGGTGACAGCTTGTAAGCGACGGCATAGTGCAGTGTTAAATCCACGGCCAGTCCGATGGCTATGGACACAGTAGTGCTCTCGAGGACGTTTAACTTCCACCCCAACAGCACCAAGGAGGCAACCGTCACTATTATGATGCACGCGATCGTAACGATAGCGTAAATACTCATCAGCAAGTTAAGAGTCGTAAGCAGCAGAGCAATAAAAGAAACAGCAATGGCGACACCAATGGCTATCACAGTCCCCCTCGATAAACTGTCTTGCAAGTCAAAGAACTCCAAATCGCTCACGAACCATCCGTTCTTCAAACCATCGGGAGCGGTCTTCAACATCCCGCTCACCCATCCATCCACGGAGTGGCTGAACTCGTACATTTCCGTGTACGAGTTCGAGTAGGAGTAAATGCTGTCGTACTGCACGACGATGGCTTGCACTTTCGCGGTGGACTTGGAGAACCGCACTCCTTCCATGACCGGGACAGCGAAGTAGCCTGGATTGTGGTGCAGAATGCCCACTGCCTGCTTGATGCAGTAGTTGAAGACTTTCACGCTGAACGGGAACTTGGATGACTCGCAGCACGGTGTCCTGTTCGCGTCGGTGATGCCGTCCACGCACCGCCTCTCCATCCACAACCTGAACGTCTCGATGAAACAGTTGAAGAGGAGGGGGCCACTCGTGAGCTGGTAGAAAGTCTGGTTCCTCAGCTGCGTGCAAAACTTGTACAGCCACAACTGCGCTTCAGGCTGAGCCATGTCGAAAAGCGGGTCGATGGAGAGAGCCCCTCGATCGTACGGGTCCAAGTAGTCGCCGGTGTCCACAGGCAAGACACCCCAGACGATGCGGATGGGGAGCTTCCTGAACACGTCTTGTTCCCTCGCTTTTTCGAACCAGAAGAATTTCTTCAGATACAAATCATACTGTTCGAAAGGGTGTTCGGTTTTGAAGAGTTGGAACTCTTTGGAGTCGGGGAGTTGGAGTCTGGGGTAGTAGAAAACGACTACCGCGGCACCAGTGGCTAACGTCGTGAAGAGCACCAGCCAGAAATACCTCGATTTCACGATGATGCAAGGCAGGATTTTCTCGAAGAAGACACGAGAAGAGTCAGTGAAGCTGTAGTGGATCTTCCAGAAGGAGTTGCAGAGTGAGGAGAACCACGGAATGTGCTGGAACTGAGGAAGATACAACCCTAGAGGAGATACCAGCAGGCAAGTACTCGAGCACCATTTCTCTGCAATCGTCACGGAAGCTGGAAGCCATGATATCGTGAAGAAAAAATTGGCAAGCACAGCAGTTCCAGCAAATATGCTATAATAGAAGAAAAACAAGGCTTAATGCAGAATAGTAAGGCAAACAAAAGACTGTACTTATAATGGATATTACGAGGCGCATCCAGAAAGTAAGTTTCCCTATTTTTTTTTTTTTTAAAAACTCACACTTTCAGGAACATACTTACAGTGGTGCAAGTGGCAAAACATGGTTTTGGAGCATCTTTGGAGCAACAAAAAAGCAATTTTGGAGCAGTGAAACAAAGATTTGGAGCATATTTAATAAAAATAATTAAAACAAGAATTTAATTACAAGAATTTTAATTTTATTCATTAATAACATATCTTATTGTTTAAATTTTTTGAAGGTCCCTGCATTAATAAATTAAGTTTCTTTTTGGTGTCTTCCAATGCTGTTAAATATTCTGCTATCCTCAACTTAGCCTCAGATAAGAGGATTTGTCCGCCTTCTATAATCTACATGTCTTTATTATTTAACCCATCTTTAATATTTTTTCAGCTGTAGCTAAGAGATCCTGAGAAGCCTTCAATTTTTTTTTTTTTTGCAAATCAATTTCAGCAGCTTTCAATCTGCTTTCATCCATTTCAGTGTTTTCACATACTTTTTGCATAATTTTTTCTCAACCTCTAATCGAGCAGAATAATTTTTAAATGCTGCACGAGCCACTTTCACCATATCTTTGTCAACTTTAAAGTTATTTAAACCCCCCTATTTTGTTGATATGTGACACAACGTTCTTCAAACCATTAACACTATGTGAAATTAAACTTGCCCTATTGTCAAGTAGCTTTTTGTTCACACTAAAACCTCTTCCAACATCGGCATTCCCATGTATTATGCACAAAAGAGCTTGTTAAAAGAGGATATTTGATATTTCCCAAATTACCTTTCTTCACAAAATAGTTTTTCCAAAACACATCAATTGGGGCATATTCATTTGAGTCAGAAGAATAACCTTCTGGTTCCCCGCGTAACCTCGTACATTCATCTATGCCTTTAACAGAAGTGTCTTCCATTCTTATTACAGGATGCAACACTTTAAGATGGTACAGTAGCCTATTTTCAAGAGGCAATGCTTTTAATAACTTTTTTGTGTATGCCAAGTAAAAAGACTTGGCACCTATATACACAGATTTTTATTTCTGAAGAAGATAAGGATGTCATCGCCTGTGTGGTATCTAGTCCAATATCTATTAAATTTGAATTTCGCCAAATTTCTGCGTTTTCTACATCCAATGATCGTAAGTTCTTTCCTGACAAACTAACAAAAGCAGAACTCTTTAAAAAACGTCCTAACAATGCTTTAACTAGAGACACCATTTCATCATACAGCAAGTGAATCAATGATGTCAAGTTTGGAAAAGATCTAAAAATTTATTTAATATAGGCGAAATATTTCTTAAAAAAAGAGCTTTTGGCAATTTAAATAAATTCAATATTGAGTGGCTCATGCTATTTTTTAAATTAATAATTACTTTAATTAATTCAGTAAAAGGTAATTTATATAACTCTAATTAATTTAACTATTACTTAAGGTTATTGAGTGTACTTTTCTTAAAATTTAAATAAATGTTATTCGTAATAGCATATTCAACAAAACATTAACAAGATTAATATTGATCATATCGAAATGTAAAGAATGTAAAATAATAATCGATATGTAAAGAATTAAGCAAATTAAGAAAACTTTAATAAACTTATATTACAAATGTAAATTAGTGAATGGCCCCTAATAAATTTTTATTAAAATTGGTTACCTAGTACAGTATTTCATTATTGAAATTATTAAAAAAAATTAAATAATTTTTAAATGCAAATACAATGTGTATTGAAGCTAAAAAAAATTTGTCAGAAGTAAATTATTATATTATCCCTACACTCATAATATTTAACAAGTCTGTGAAAATTAAAACAAATTTTATATCAATTGCCTTAAATCAAATCATTAAGAGATGAATTAAAGCATTTTTGAATGACAAATCAGAAAAATATAAGATTTTTTGCTGCTTTTAAAATATTGAGAGCCCCTCTCTTCATACTTATTTAAAATCTTGCCTCTAAATATTATTAAGTTTTTTCCTGAAACAAATTAAGAGCACTGAAATTTTGAAAGTAATAATACAATAATAAAATGCAATAAGTAAAAAAAAATATTAGTAAAAAAAAGTAATAAAGTAAAATAAATTTTTAAAAACAATATGCAATTAGGGGATGGTCCCTCAGATAAAATATTTAACTTCAAGAAAGTCAATTAATTCTTATCTTTATTAAATTAAATGAATAAAAGGGAGATGGAAATTTTGAGGGCATGAAGCTTTGTAATTCCTGACTGCTCTGAGGAACAACATGAAAATATGTACTTAGTGAATGGTCCCCAAATTAATTGAAAGATCATGGTACTAATCTATAAATAGAATAGCGCAAGAAGGCCATTAGCTTGCCATTGATGAAGACTTCAATAACGATTATCAACAACGTACTTCAATAACTATGAAATTAACAAGAGAAAAAAAATTTACTTTTGCTATTAAAATTTGGCAATGGATTTTGGGAATGGATGGCAAAATTTGGCAAAATTTGCTTTAAAATTTGGTCTCCGAAAATTCGAGAGAAGTTTTGGTTCCATTTCAGAGAGTGGAAAATGAAGTCTGAAATTGAGAATATCTTGCAAAATGATGCAGAGTTGCACATGAGAGTGCAAGAATCCATCCCACTGAATCCAGAGCAACCCCCCACATGGCAGTAGCTTGATTGCCGCAAAATTGTGACTTGGCGATACCCAGGGGAAAATATCCTTTTTGGCGCAGATCGGAGCAATTTAAGCCATTTTCTTCTTTTTAGAAATCAAATTCATTAAAACATAATTGTTTTAATTTAGATTAGATGTAGTAGAATGGCTCTTAAAGTTACGATTCCTCACTGCTAAGGAAACATATTATTGATTTACAATTCTCACAGATCATACGAGAAAAAGACATTTAACAATTTCATTTTTAAGGGCGGGGGCACAAGAAAATTTTTCTAGAAATAAAATAAGTAGAATTTGAAAACAAATACAGGGTGTTTATAAAATCCTGGACCCATTTTGATGTTTAATAACTCATAAAATAATAGAGATAGATAAAATTAATAACATAAATGGTTAGATAGACTCAAAAAGTTTCATGACCCTTGTCAATGAACTTCCACGTGTGCCCCCTTTGTCGCACGGAGAATATCAAGTCGATAGTCAATTTCAAGTCAGGTAGCGGCAAGCATGTCGGCAGCCACAGAGGCTATTGCGGTTGTAATTCTGGCTTTTAGGTCATCAATGTTTGACACGCTCCTCCTGTAAACATTGTCCTTTATAAATCCCCAAAGTCCAGCGGAGTTATATCAGGTGATCTGGGTGGGCAAGGAATTGGACCTCCTCGACCAATCCATCTTCCTGGAAAAAAATCATTCAAAGAACTACGAACGCGGTGATACCCCAATGAGGTGGTGAACCATCTTGTTGCAAAAAGACATGTGGCTGAAGCTCTTCTAGTCCAACATGTCTAAGTATACATCTGACGAGACAATCTTTTCTGTAAAAAAGAAAGCTACCTGGCCTGTAATTGACTAACGACTTGATATTCTCTGTACGACGAAGGGGGCACAAGTGGAAGTTCATTGACAAGGGTCATGAAACTTTTTGATTCTATCTAACCATTTATGTAATTAATTTTAATCTATCTCTATCATTTTATGAGTTATTAAACATCAAAATGGGTCCGGGACTTTATAAACACCCTGTATATGTGGAAAAAATTTTCTTTTTGCACTTTATATAAAATTATTAACTTCTATGCATATTCTTATAATAAGTACAACTAATTACTTTAAAAAAATCAAATATAGAGTCAAAAAGATAATAATGATAAGAGTCATAAAGATAATAATGATAGAGTCATATGAAATATAGAGTCATATCACAGTTCAGAACCATTTTCAAAAGTATAGTTACTTTCTCTGCTCTACTTTTTTTTTTAATTCTCTCAAAGCATTATAAAAGCAATTACTGAAAAGCAACTAACTAATAGGAGTAAACTGATTTATTCTACAAATTAGGCTACATTTTAGACTTTCAAATTCATGACTAATTCCAAGAATTTATCTCGACATAACGAAGTTACTATTTTCTCCGACAAAAACACAACAAGAAATTTAAAAAAACATTATGCAATAACATTCATAGAAAAGATAGGTATCATACTCTGCATCTTTATAGATTTTAAATCTAAAAAACAAGGAAAAGAAAGAGCAATAAAATAGCTGAAAAAAATACAATTTTACTTTTTCTTGTTTATCGGATGAGCTGATGAAGAGATATCTCTTATTTTCCGGATTTAACTATTTTTTCTCCTTCCGGTTTCTTGTTATTTTCATTATTATTTTTTTCCCCTTTTTTCATTGTTCTGTAATTTTCCCCTTGTTTTCTTTACATTTTGAGCTTATATATATATATATATAAAGGTAAATGTTTATATATATATATATATATATGAAAAGTGATTACTCAAATTCGAAAGTCACGCATCATAATATCGTATAAATTAATTTTTTTTAAATCATGCGGAATTTCTTAGAAATAATCATTAAAAAGGCGATCAAGAAATTAAATAGACTTACAATGGAGTCTGTGCAGATTGAACGATTTAAAAAGTGAAGAATCAAATTTGCTACATTTTTTATTTTTTTAAGAAAAAAAAAAATTCAGTGTGTTCAGAAACTATCTTGTGGGGTGTAGATTCAAAAAGTAGGCAAAAAAAAGTAGCCATAGTTGCCTCAGGTCGAAAATAGTNTTTTTTTAAGAAAAAAAAAAATTCAGTGTGTTCAGAAACTATCTTGTGGGGTGTAGATTCAAAAAGTAGGCAAAAAAAGTAGCCATAGTTGCCTCAGGTCGAAAATAGTTGCAAATAGTCGCTTTTTAGTCACCTGTGGCAACCCTGTGAGTGTAAAAAAAAAAAAAAAATCACTAATATACTCCTGAGTGAACATCAGGAGTAGATTATAATCATAATCATAATAGATTATAATCATAACATAATAGATTATAATCATTTCATAAGCAACAATAACTCCTGAGTGAACAATCAGGAGTTATTGTTGCTTATGAAATTGCAAAAAAAAAAAGGAGAGGAAAAGAGTAATATAAAGAATAGCAAGTAGAATGAATTACCTGAAACAGCGTACTGCAGTAATATTGCTAATCATGCTACCAAAAAATGCAGCCGCTGTTGTTATACTAGTAACAAGCATGGAGAGGCAGGCATGGTGAAATGTATCACAAACTAACTTAACTAGTGTCCCATTGCTCTTCTCCGCTTTGGCACAGCTCCATATCTTACAATATATACACGCATCATCAGCACCTATACCTAAATATACACCCACACAAATCATTAAAAATATATACATAATGCTCTCAACAAATCATAAAGAACAAATGGCAAACAATTTTAACAGCTATTTTCTTCGTTCATTTGCATCAATTGACTTCTTTCTGATTGAGCTTGGAAATTTTCCACACATCTTAGAGGTTATCAATTTTAATGTCTACTAGGAAGCAAGGTCTGTCCAGACATTTTGTGAAAGGTCCGTTTTTTGTGCACAGATTTTTAATTTATGTACGAAATTTAATTTATTACCGTTTAATTTATTTCCGAATTTAAATTTTTGTAATGATTTACAAAATTCAAAAGAGAAAGTAATTTGTGCATTTTTCTGCCTGCAAAATGCGAGAAAGCGCCTATAATATAACAATTAAAAATATTACTTTTACAATTGAAAAATTTTAATTCTATACCTTCTTTTGTAAAGACAACAATTTCGTTACTTTAAATTAGTAATTGTTGTAATTAAAAAGTATTTTAAAGAAAAATGCTTGTGGCAGAAAAACCTGAATTAATTCTGCCACAGGGTTTCCAGGTGGGCGGATACTTCTTATAAACAAATATTTCATTTCATGAGTTTGTAAGAAATTTAAAATAAGAGATGTTATTTCAAATACCTATTATAATGATGACGGTGAGCAGATTAATGAATGGAAAAAACTTTATCTGGTAGACAAGGGAATACATGAAATATGCAGTGGCCATGGAAAATACAACACCACACAGCGTCATGAAGGTGACAAAAAAAGACGACGAATATATCCAAAGAAAGAAGAAGATGAGCATTCCGGCCAACACCACGTAAACTGCATCATTTTGCAGAGTGACGGTGAACAGCCTGTATTTCAAGCCAAACTCCATTCCGGCAACCACCACGTCGTTGCTGCATAGATCCTCACTCTCCAGATCTTCGTAGTAATTCAAGGCAGCCGAACTCTGAGCGATCGGGAGAAACACTGCCGTGTACGTCAACTGAGGGGTCGGGGGATGTTTGGGATTCAGGAAATTGATGTCGGTGAGATAGTGAAGGATGTTGTACACGGCGTCGTACTCGATGCAGTGCCTGGGCACGCCACGGCACAGTGCAGGATCCATGGCACAGTCGTGGCTCAGTTTCATGTTGTGGTAGTAGGATGCGCAGGAGACGAGGAGTTCGAGAACAGCGTTCACGTCCGACTGACCGATGGCGTGGCAAGTGGAAAGGTTTCTAAGCAAGGCGACGTAATTGGAGATGGACCAGCTGCGGCAACAAGAGCCGACGGGTGACTGCTCACAAAGCTCAGAGAAATAGTCAGACTTGCGGAGTTTGTTTTCGTCAACATCACATATGCTTTTGAGGCCCTCTACCGTCAACAGATTTTTGCCAGATGAGGATTGCATAATGACATGAGCATAATCTCGAGCTGAAACAATAAAATAATCATAAGCATCCGAATAATTATTTACTAACAGAAGCGCAACAACAAAAAAATTATTTCAGAAAAAATATACAGAAAATTTTGCCTGAAAATTGAACCATTAAGATTGCATCTTACCGCATGAATATTAAAACATCAGGGGTGATTGTGGGCCCAACTCAAAAATCCTGAAAATTTCTTGAGTAAAATCATTCAAAAAATTAATATCTTTATAAATTTAAATCATTGAAATTTTCAAAACATGATATTCTAAATTAATTATATGCATCATAATTTAAATGAATAATTATGTGTAAGTTTACTTTTATCGCCAATCACATTTTCAATTTTTGCTATCTTACAAGAGTCTAGCGCCTCACTTCTAAAATGACCCTCTAATCTAGAAATACGGCACCATACCGCGCATGGTGGAATTGTTGTTTTCTCTGTCTGGGAGTACTGCAGCGGTTGAAAGGGGCTTTTTCAGCAATGAACTTACAATAAATAAATAAATAAATAAAATTACGTACTGGTCTTAAACAAGAAGCGTTAAACGCAATAATGAACATCTACCTAAATGGAAAACCCCTTTCAGATTTCTGTGCAGAAACCTCTGTAAATCATTGGCTTGATTGTGGAACTGGCAAACGTCATATTTGATTCATTTAAAAAACGCAGTACCCTCGGATAAATTGACATTCCAGATAACTTGATCTTCGTCATTTAAATTATTTCATAAAAGAAATAAATTATTTCATAAAAGAAATACTAGGTTTTACTATTAGTAATATAGTATTTCTTTTATTACTGTATAATGTAATCCTCGTAGCTACTAATTCATTGTGTAATTTATATAAATGTTTGTAATAAATAAGAAAAAATAATATTTTTATTTATTTAGAAGCGATGGGTTAGTTTCAAAGGAGGACGGGTACATTGTTGGAGAAGCTGTTCTCGGGGACGGGTAAAATTTCTTATACGGTTTGCGAAGCAAACCATATAAGATTGCGTAGCAATTTTCAGGGGTTGGCGAGCGTTAACGAGTAGGGAGCGCAGCCCACTAGTTTTAAATATAATTAATGGTATTTTTGAATTGATTAATTTATTTTAAATAAAAACATATGTTTCTTGTAAAGATATTCATTAGAAAATTGGGTTTCTTGGAACCTTACTGCATGAGAATTTATTATACCAGCCAATATATTCAACGAAAATTAAGCACTTTTTAAGTGCTCGAAAAATATTTTTAAGCACTTTAAAAAATATATAATTAGGCAGGGTTGTAAAGTTTTTGACAATTGACGGTCACGTCAAAAAAAAAATGTCAAAAAAAAGCATTGTTTTTGACAATTGTAAAAATCATGAAATTTTGAATCATGTAAATCGAATGGCATTTTCATACGCTACGGACTGACGATGTGCCGAAATAGATTGGGGTTAAATTAATTGCGAAAACGCTGAATAGAACAATGTGAGCTGCGTCTTTTTTCATAATTCATAGCGAAAATCAACATGGTAAAGGATAAATCTCCTTTTGAAAAAGGGAAAATGAAGCACTTTTTAAAAACACCCAATGAAAAAAGCACTTTTAAGTACTTTCTAAAAACGCTACGCACCTTGGCAAATAAAATGAATAAGAGTATACTCAAAATCCGATGCATGGGAACGTTACTTTTTAAAAAGTAAGGAGTACAAAAATGTTGTTGTTGTTGTGTTATGCTACTTGTCAATACTGACAAGTTTATTTTAAGGCAGAAGGGTGCGTTTATTCTTGTTTACCAGAGGCACCACCCATGGTCAAGAATCCGACTTACGCCACACACATGTCACAGCTCGTTTAACAGGAAAGGCACATTCACACACCATCGATCCATCTGCATTATCGTTATCATAATCGTAATCATTTGTTATTCAATAGATGTCACCACAATATAAAATATTTATATTACAAAATATAAATTCTTCTTCTTGGGCACTACAGCCCATGACAGGCCAATTCCATCCGAACAAAATCTTGTCATCTTGATTTATTCTGTGCCATGCCCTTCCAGTTAGTTATTCTTATTATCTTTAGGTTCCTCTAAACTGCGTCTTTTTGTAAAATGCGTGGCGAAAATCAACAGGGTAAAGGGAAAATTAAGCACTTTTCAAAAACACCCAATGAAAAAAAGCACCTTTAAGGGCTTATAAAAAACGAACATCGAAAATAAGCACTTTTAAAAAAAGCTATGCAACCCTGTTATACATCATGCGTTATTTGAAGAGAGGGGAATTTTGCAGTATACCCCTAAATTTAACAGAATTTTAGACATTATTAAATCAAAGTATTTAGAAAGAGTTGCACTTTTTGCAAAACATACTTACATGGATTATTACAAAAGAAATTCTTTCCTTCAAGAGTTGGTATTTTAGTGAGTTTGATGTTGGGAGAGGGGGGCCTTTCAAAGACAATGCGTCCAGAATCGTCCTCCTTGTGCAGGCTACCATAGTTTTGTTCGTCCGTCTCGAATTCGAGCCACGGCCCCGAGCTCTCTGCAGCAGGCGTTCCGTTTTTGGAAGAAGACTGTCGCCACTGTGCCGCTTCAATGGTTTCATTACTGATGTCTGTCACAATGCTGCCAGGATAGAAAGTGAGGGGTCCATCCCAACTGGTACTCTTCAGGAGATTGTGCCAAGCGGTTGCGCGTTTTGAGAGATCCGTCCCACGCGATTCAAAGCCCTGCAATCAAAAATATTCATTGAAATAAATAATCAGGGTTGGTAAGGACAGAATCCACGGTCGCCAATGACTGGCTTGCTTCAACTATAATTTTAAATTGATAAAATTAAAAAAAATAAATGATAAAAATTCTAAAACCACAGAAGTTTAAAAGATAATTCGCTCTAGAAATGATGTTTTTTCTTTCAATTTTTGAAAGAACACCATAATTTTTATAGAACATGATAAAATTATTTTATATTCTAAAAAAATATGACAAAGGTGATTTTGTTAGGAATTCAGATATTTGGAACAAGATGAAATTGGGGGGAGGGGATTCCATTTTAAAAATTAGATTTTTTAAAGACCTAAATCCATGACTTTCCAGGATTTCTTTTAAAAAAATAGTAAAAATCATGACATTTCATGAAAAATTTTGGTTCAATAATAAAATTCGTGACTTCCGAGGTGCACGGATACCCTGGATACAGTTTCAGATGTGTTTTTTTTTTAATGCTAAATAGAATGAAATCAACAGCAAGAGAACAAAACTAATAGTTCAGAAATTATAAGCTAGTGCATTCATAGTTCAAAAAATTTAAAATTTTACTTTTTAACTAAAATATAATACTAACAACTTATGAATGGATTTCTGCATGATTTTCAGAGCAAATAATGCTTTAAAGTTGTTCACCACTTAATCAAGTATTGTTAAATGTTGTATAATCATGGATTTGAGAAGAAAGTTTGGTAATTTCTGAATACAAATTCTTCAGTTAGTTTTATAAAGTATAACTAAATTAAATTTTTTGATTATGAAAAATAAAATCTGCTCAAGAAATATCTATTGATATTAATGAATACCTTTACCATACTATCTAATAATTGTTTTCAGCAGTAACGGCATTTGGTTTCTATTCACAATATTATTCATTCGTTATTATTCACATTTATTTTATAATAGAAAAAGATAAAATTAACAAGTACATAAATATAAATGCATATAAAGGATGACTACAAATATCGAATCATTTTAGTGTACAGATATTAAATAGAAAATGATAAATACACAAATATGATGAACACTGCAAATGGCAGTTTACCTTAAATTTTTTTTATTTGAATCGACCACCATTTTTATCAATTACTGAAGGTAATTTCTTACGTATTCATTGTTCAGAGGCGTAACAAAGGTGATTTGTCCCATTCACCCAATTAAGAAGTTCTGAGAGAGTTCAAACTTCTGTGTTACTTAGCAGGGGTCTGTCCAGACATTTTGTAAAAGGTCCGGTTTTTGCGAAATTTTGAAAAAATTACTCACATTCGTTCAACCAAGGTCCTGACATTATGAATTTGTGCAACCGGTTATTTCAAAAAACTTTTTCCAGGAGTTTTTAAATTGTAAAGACATACAAGATTATGCTCAACACTGTAAAATGATAATTAAAAAAAAATTAAATTAGAGATGCAACATACAAATATTTGGTATTTAGCCTATACTGCTCAGCACAGAATATTCGTTTCGGAGGAATAAAGGAATAAGTGTCTGACAAAGACAAAACTTAGTTTGTTTACACTTATATTTCTTTCCCCCTTTCCTGGGAATAGTTTATTCGACTGACAAAACAAATAGATAGTAAACAATAGATAATAAACAATAGAAGATAAACAAATTTGTGAAGGGTCCGATTAAAAGATAAATTATTTTGTGAAGGGTCCGTTTTTAAGTTAAAATATTTTGTGAAGGTCCGTTAATGGACCCAAATTTCTTCTAAACAGACCCCTGCTGAGTAAAACTAATGATAGCATAATTTTAAACTTTTAACAAGGGATAATTGATCAAAATGTAACTATACCATTTAAAAAGTGTTTACATTATAAGATGTTAAAAATACAAAAGGTAATGTATGGTAGTTAAAGGTAAGTAGTAAATGAAACATTTATGCAGCAAATCTGAAAACCAGCACCTTAGTTACGCAATATATGTATTTAATAGTTCACACAATTAAGAAGCTCTGACAGAGTTCAAACTTCTGTGTTACTTAGCATTAAGACTTTAAAATTTAACAAACACAATTTAAAGGATTTAGTGAAAATGTGGCCAATCTTCTTTCTTAATAAACTTTGGACAATTGACTTAAAATCAAGCCTGTGTAGTTTCAGCTCAGTACGAGATGGGGCAGAATCTTTTGCTGTAATATCCAATCCTTTTTGGAATACAATCTGTCAGCATGTGGTAATAAATGTGCAGCCTTTTCATTGAATTTTACTCTTTTAATAATTATATTTCAGATGAGATTTTCTGACACTGCAGCCCAAGTCATTACACAATTCTCGCTCTGAAAGTCCCGTACAAATCAAACGTTTTTAAAGATATCATTAAAGGTTGCTGAATAATAAACATTGTTTTTAGTATTATAACTTTGCTTTGTGCAAAATATTCTGCCAACACTTTTTGCTGCTATGCCAGTTCAGCAATTTCTTACATCTTTGTTGCGTTTTTAATCTTTGTACAGTAGTCAAACCTTGAACTTTTCTTTTGCAACAATGGTGGAATGCCAGCTTTTCATTTTAATATAACTTCCCTCTGCAGCCATTTCATTATAAGATTTCTTTTTGCGAATTCTATTGTACAAACTGAGTGTGGACGACCAGACATGGGGGGATCAGTATCCAATAATCCATTTACGATTCATCACATAAATGTTTTACGTATATTTCCAAGAAGGTTGTACCTGAAGGAAATCAGAGATTGACCATTCGATTTTATCATTAAACCACTATTTTGCATTAAACCTAAATCATCGTAAAAGTACCACTCACGGGAATAGAGTAACAATTAAAACTCCTATTTTTGGAGTGTTACAGTATTTAGTAGTCAACCTGTAAAATGTGTATTCTATTTCTTTCCTACAAAATAACTCTGGGAAAAATCTCATTCATCTATTGAATTTATGAATGTTTAAGCAGATGCACAGTAATAATAAATGCATTTGATTATAAAATTAAACTCCACAAAAATCTTTTCTCATACAGCAAATATATATCTCATTATACACCATAGCCAACACTTTAGTATTGAAAAAACAGAATACCTCTAAAAAAGATAGCCTCCCACATCACGTTAAAATTAGTTTTAACATTTCTTACTTATCTGAGAAGTTTATATAAATATACTTGGACAATTCCTTAATCTTAGAAGAAAAAAATCAGTGCAATGAATTTTAGGCAAATTTATATTACATTACATTTAAAATAAACAGTCACAAAGGCGCTAATAGCTTTAAAATAAATATGAAAATTGATTGATAACTAATCAAAGCAAATGGGCAATTTTTTAACATCAGTGCTGCAAATTTTGGGAGATCCATGTCGGGCATTTGCACTTAAAAAGAAATATCAGTGAAGGTATTATGTTGAAGAGAATATGAAATGCTAATTTCTCTTAGACCATTTAACTAACATCACACGTAAAGCTTTAACAAACAGAACATCAACTTAAAACATTATGGGTCGTCCTGCAACCAAGCTAGCTAGCGAAGAGGTAAAAAAAGCAAGTGGTAGTTCTTCACCTGACATTTATCACAGGGTTGATGTTTGCCTGAAGACTTTATGTCACCAATCTTACCGCCAAGCTGGCACTAAGACTGGTGAGAGAGGCGAGTACCTTTGCTTCTCTCACTTTCCAGATCATTAGGACACATTTAGGAATTGCGAACACAAGTACAAACACACATTGATAGCAATTATTGCAGATGGTGGCAAGAAATAAAAATTCATCAAAATTAGCATCAAAAGTGAGAACAATTCCGTTCCTAATATTATTTTGTAAAATTAAAAAAAAAAAAATTCTTGATTAGATAAACAACAAACTATGTATAAGTAACAAAATAAAAATTATTAAAAGCATATAAAATTTTCCATTGCGATCTAAATTGTTGTTGTAGGGAAGTACCATTGTTTATGTTTTGATAGTTCTGTGACAGTTTTATGCACACTTATTATAAAAATTTTTATCTTTCGCTTTCAAATGCGGGTTCATTAAGTCAATCCTATTCATACAACTTAATGGGAGTAAGCGATATATACAGGGTATCTGCTACATTTTAGATTTTCAAATTCATGACTTTCCATGACTAATTCCAAGAATTTTTCATGACTTAACGAACTTACTATTTTCTCTGACAAAAACAGAACAATAAATTTAAAAAAGCATTTTAAATTTATAAAACAGGGAAAAGAAAGAGTTAAAGCAATAAAATAGCTGAAAAAAACACAAAAGCAAAAAATTTTTTTCTCTGCAGAATTAAATTTTACAGATATTTTTCTTCTTTATAGGAAAGGAAAGAAATACTCCTGATTTTTCTGTTCTCATTTCAGAATTTTAAAAAAATTTGCCAATGACTGGCTTGCTTCAGCTAGAATTTTAAATTGATAAAATAAAAAAAATAAATAACAAAAATTCTGAAATCACAGAAGTTTAAAAAGATAATTCGCTCTAGAATTGTTTTTTCTTTCATTTTTTGAAAGAACACCATAATTTTTAAAGAACATGATAAAAAATTTTATACTTTAATCAAATATGACTGTGAGTGGGGATTTCGTTACAAATTCAGATGTTCAGAACACCATGAAATTGGGGTGCGGAGGGTAAATTCCATTTTAAAAATTAGATTTTTTGGCGGCCTAAATCCATGACTTTTCATGATGTTTTTTTTAAAAAAAACTTTCAAATCATGACATTCCATGACAAATTTTGTTCAATACTGAAATTCATGACTTTCTATGATTTTTCATGATTTTCCAGGTGAGTGGTATATATATATAAAAGAAATATAACAATAAAGGAGTTACCAATAGAGGATCTTTAAAGTTTGGCAGTTCAGTCTGAGTGACACTAAGGATAATAAATAGAATAGCCCCAGTAAGAATTATGAAAATGACATAACAAGGGTAATTGGCCACTTGACGCGCATACCTAGAAAGAAAAAAGAACATTTATTTTATTTTAAAAACTAAATGCTACTTTCAGAATTTGAGTTCATCATTAAAATAGTCTTTAAACTCGAATCATTTTAGAAAAAATTAATTACTCTAGTTTTTTATAATATTATTGGAAGCATTTTTCATCATTTCAGCTTGCCTTGATTTAAGATAATGATCATTAAAAATGGAATGTTTTTATGAAGTCTGTGTCAAGATAAAGATCCAAAGCCTGCTGTGGTGTGCACATAGTTAGTAAACAAATGTTGCAAATTATTGAGAGTACAAATTAGTTCAGTCTGTGTTTTTTGTGGTCAAAAATACATTTATTTCAGAATAAAATGAATGAACAGATTAATCAAAGTATTGTCCATCGCTGGCTACTACTGTTTCCCACCTCTCACACAATTTTCGAATTCCATCTCGAAAAGATGTATCGTCTTTTGAGGCGACCCGAGTTAGGAGCCGACTTTCGATTTCTGCGAAAGAAGTGAACTAGTGATCTGCCAAATCGTGCAGAATCCGTCGGGAACAACCAGTAATCAGAAGGAGCAATGTCTGGTGAATAAGGCGAGTGCAGTAAAATATCCCACTTGAGTGCTTTAAAGTTATTTTTGTACGGCTTTTGCGATATGAGGCCGACCGTTATCATGCAGAAAAATAACTTTGATATGTCGTTGCTCGTATTCCGGCTGTTTTTCTCGTAATGCACGGCTCAAACAATTGAAGCCTATACCCATTGCCTGTAATGGAATTGGTAGGTTGTAGCAGCTCATAGTATACAACACCATTCTTGAAACGTTGAAACCATTCCCTACATGATTTATCAGTTCGAGCATTGTGACCATAAACTTCTACAAGCATTCGGTGCGCTTAAGCTGCACTTTTCCTCCAATTAAAGCAGAAACACAAAACCTCCCGCAAATGCTGCTTAGCTACCACAAAATTTGACACATTCAACGAAGTAAAAAATAGGGTTTTTGTATGAAACTCAAAGCGATGTAAAATGAATGTTATTGACAGATGTCTAAGCTCTCTGAAGCCAGCTGTCACTATGAAACATTCATAACAGCCAGAGCCATCTTTTGAAAACGGACCGAACCAATTTGTACTCCCAATATAAATAATTTTAACAAGTTTGAATAAGATCTAAAAAAAAAAATTTCTTATTGGATCATTCTTGATACAGAGGTTTATTAAATTGAAAAACATGATTTGAAAAAGAAAAATACATAAAAGAGAATACAGAAAACATAAAAAAGGTTTCAAGATTACGTACAATATTAATTAATTACAAACTTAATCAGTTTTATGATTTTCAGGAAATATTTTCATGAAAATTAATAAAATTTAAACCCGTCAAATTTCTTATTCAAAAGGCTAATATTTGTAACACAGCTGACAAAGATTCAAAATATACTTGCACAAATAGCGCCCAACATTTCTCTCTCCATTTGACTTATTTTGCGTGCATTACAATCAAATTGATTGCTTGGAAAATGTTGGTTGGTATACTCTTTCTTTAAAGGGGAGGCCAAATAAATAAATTTAACCCTTTGGCTACTAACGGGACTCATTTGTCGGAACAAATGTTTAAAAATTACTAATGGGGTGAAAAGCACATAGAAACTCATTGTAATATGTCCCAGTCATAGAGTCAAACCAAGTATAAGTGTTTCATGTGTCAAATATCCCCCAGATGGCGCTACCTAGATGGCACTAAAGAGTTTCTTGCATGAAATAGCAGTGTGATTTTGCGCTGGGACAGATATATCTCACTAGTATTCTTCATTGGGACAGATATATCCAACTCATATAATTCATTGGGATTGTTATGTCCATTCATATTTTATTCATATTTTCTCAAATGAATATAGAAAAAAGAACATATATGAATTGTCCAATGTGTAATGTCGGGTTATGCAAAGATTGCTTCACCCTGTATAATACCATGTTAAAGAAAAGTCTAGATAATAAATTTTTCGGAATGATAGATGTGTGCTTGTTGTAAGTCGATCAGTACAGGTGGGGAATATGTATCCCACCATTAAGTACGGCCGGGACATATATGCCCCAGCCTCTAAATTGATAAAGGCTAGTCAGAATAATCCCAAATACTAAATTTGCCTTATTTGTGACCTATTTTGTCCCTTTGAATAATGAACTGGACAAAAAAAATCATTTTTTCAAAATTCGTAGTCAAAGGGTTAAAAAAAGGTTGAAACAATAAAATATTGACATACCACATTCTTAAAACTTGCTCCTCATAACAGCAACTCTTGTGAAAACTGAGAAACAGCAACCATCTTCTTGAATTCAGTTATACATACTCTTTCAGCTGAAAAAAACATGTAAAAAAATTAATTACATCATCTTTGTAAAATAATTTGCTCGCAAATTACAGTTTGAATAAAATATTCTTTTAATGGAGTATCCATTAAAAGAATATTTTATTATATATTTTTAACAATGTTAAATGCTTTACAAAAATCATCATCATCATCATATCTGGCCAGACAGCCCAGGGTGGGCCAGTGCCTTCCTTTGAATTCGAATCCACTTCTCTCTACTTTTGACACTTGTTCGCCAGTTTTTCTCCTTTAGAGTAAGGAAATCAGTCTCAACTAAATCCAGCCATCTCAGCCTGGGTCTACCTCTTTTCCTGTTCGTTAGGGGTTTGTGTAATAGGATTTTCTTTAAATTTGAGTCATCATTCCTTCTGAAAATGTGAGCTGCCCAGTTCATTCGATTTATTTTTATGAATTTCACAATATCTGGCTCTCTGTTGATCAGTCGTGAATTCTCTTCTTTAGACTTCGTAACAATTTGTTTTTTTTACAGGATGGGGTTGTTAGCCTCATGCCCAACCTGGAGGACCAGGGTGTTCCTCTTGGTCTGGTGTCTCCCCTCCGACCTGTCCGGCTTGGGTGACCCTACCAGTAGCTAAGCTACCCCCGGCATAGCTCTCAGGATCGACAACGCACACAAACCACACCACCACCATAAGGTGGGAGCTTTACAAAAAATAATATATATTTACAGATCAGGGGTGCACAACCTTTTTGAATGATGGGACACTTACTCAGGTTGAATAATAAAGGGGCCGCACGCGTACTTAGAGAAGTTAAAGGCAAAAAAAAAAAATTTTTTTTTCTATAAACATAAGCACTTATTATTTTTATCAGTAAACCTAGAATTTATGAGTAATATTTTCAGAGAATTACTTTTAATTTTTAAAAATACTTTCAATTAATAAAAATTATTCAAAAATAAAAAACCTGATCCTTTTTTTAATAAATTTCGCTTCTTAAAAATTTATGTATTCAAAAAAATACAAAAAATGGATAAAAGAAATGTGGGGGTTTTTTTTTTGGTCATATTACATCGTACAAAAAATCTTAGTAAAAATTTAAAAAAAAAAAAAAAATTTCGCTTCACAGAATGAAAATATAAAAGATAATTCAATAAATGTATATTTTGATGGTTAATACAAATTCAAATGAAATATATTTTAATTGAAATTATAGGAAAAATCACTTGGATTTGAGATGAAATCGGCAAAAATAATGCCAGACAAAAAGTGATTACTCAAATTCGAAATTAATGTATCTTAACATCGTATTAAAAGTATTGAATTTTTTAAAAACCATGCAAAATTCTGAAGCAATTCTGATGGAGTAAGAGATCGAGAAACACAGATTTATTTACTACAAAATATATGTAAATTGAGCTCGCCAAACAGTGATGACTCAAATGTACGATTCAAAATTTTCCACATTTTTTTTATTTTTCAAAAAAAAAAATATTCTATTGTGTACAGAAGATTTTGTGGGTAATAGTCGGTGGGCCGCAGCTTGTGCATCCCTATTATAGATAGAAAGTGGCATTTTCTTTAATCTTAAAACTCAAAATACATGTCACTTAATTTCCAGTGTACATGGAAATTTATGTTTAAAATGGTGACAACATATTGACCACAGATTAATTTTATTAATTGCATTTAATTCAAAGAATATCTGGATTATCAAAATAAAATATACAATCTGAATCTAAATGAACAATAAATAAAAAAAGAAAATGTGGATATAGAACTAAATTTTGTTAAAGTCTTTAACCATAATGAAAATCTCACTCACAGAACACTTAATAAGGGATTTATAAATGTTACAAATTTCTTCTTTTTCAGTCTTTTATTTTCATGAAATTACATTAAGACAACTTTTATTTTATGTCATGTGGTCAGAAGTATAATTTACAATTTCAATGCACATTTACACGCAAATATGGCTTTTAGTTTTTGTATGTACACCATAAAATGAAAAATAATTGATTTTAACAATTTTCGAAAACATTTTTAGATCGACTTTAATAAGCGAAATTAAATGAAAGAAACCTGATTAGGATTTTTTTTAAAATAAAATTATATAAAGTATAAAAAAAATTGTTAAAATTAATGTGTAAACTATCTAATCTTGTTTAATATTCTAATATTATTAATAATTGTCTAATATTGTAGATAATTGTTTAATAATTTTCATGAAATTACATTAAGACAGCTTTTATTTTATGCCATGTGGTCAGAAGTATAATTTACAATTTCAATGCACATTTACACGCAAATATGGCTTTTAGTTTTTGTATGTACACCAAAAAATGAAAAATAACTGATTTTAACAATTTTCGAAAACATTTTTAGATTGACTTTAATAAACGAAATTAAATTAAAGAAATTTGATTAAGATTTTTTTTTAAAAATAAAATTATATAAAGTACAAAAAAAAATTATTAAATTTAATGTGTAAACTATCTAATCTTGTTTAAGATTCAGTGGAAATCGCCAGTTCATGATAGTAGTAAAATAAAAAGACTAAAAAAATTTTTTTATCGAATTGAATGAATAAACCTCTCGACATAATGTGAAATTATTTTTTAATAATACGCTCGAATTTTTTTTTATATATATTATTGCAATATATTTTAAGAACATTGCAAAATAAGTGAACAAACAATGAGATTGGGATAATGTAGAAATCTTTTGCAAGCGATATCTGGATAACCTCTACTTACTTGCAACATCCAGTATTGCGAAATCGTTCCATCTGTTTCGGCGCCAAAACAAAACCATTCCTCACCGAATCAAAAGTCGTCTGACTTACATCTAAAATCTTCAAAAAAGAATAAATACTTTCAGGTATCTTTGCAAACGAATCGAAAAATGAGGAAAATAATGACTTCAGTGAAAGCGATTTGTAAACGAAACCAGAAAAGAAAGCGACATTTGAATGGTGTGAGCAGTGAAAACAACCTCAAATGAATTATCAAGCTTACTTTGAAAAGAGGTGAGGAAACTGGGCTGCCATATTAGACGGATGATTGTCCGTTTATGAGAGCGCCAAACATGTATTTGCACTTTCCTCCCCAAGAAATAAAGATTATGGGTGAAAGAAAGAAAAAACAACCGAGAGTTAGTCAAAATTAACAAGGATAAATATTTTTTCGCAAAATAATTTGTCCAAAAATAATCTTGGATTGAGTGGAGGGCAAATTTGGGATCAAAAATAAATAAGACAGAGAAATAAATGACTACTAGAAATTTTAATGATGAAGAAAAAAAATATTAGCAGAAGCTGTTTTAATAAACCGATGAATTTATATTTCATTCATTTTAGAATTCTTGACATAAAATATTTAATAAGGAAAAATTACAGTTAAGGTAAAAACAAAAAAAAAAACCTTTTTTAATACAAGGAGTAAAAATAAAAATAACAAGAAAAAACCTTTTTTGATACAAGGAGTATAAAAAAAAATAACAAGAATAAAACCTTTTTTTATTCAAGGAGTAAAAAAAATTAACAAGAAAAAAAACTTTTTTAATACAAGGAGTAAAAAAAAAAAATAACAAGAAAAAAACCTTTTTTAATACAAGAAGTAAAAAAATAACAAGAAAAAAAACCTTTTTTAATACAAGGAGTAAAAAAAAAAATAAGAAAAAAACCTTTTTTAATACAAGGAGCAAAGAAAACAAAACGTATTAGTATTTTCAAATAAATTCAGCTAATAATAGATAAAAATAACGATTGGCACCCGTTTTCGTAAGAAGCCTTAAGCGATGCAAATCATACATCGCAAGAAAATCCAAAAATGAAAAGCAATACATCAATTATATAGTTCACGTGAAACAATAATAAAATTGAATAAAGTCGCATTTTTTTTTTATTTTTCAGGAATTATCCAACCATTAAATTTTGTTTTATGCCAGAATGTGAAATAAATCTGCGTGTTTAACAATCGAAAATGTTTTTTTGTTCATTATTAAATTAAACATTTAAAAAAAAGCAATCTTGGGAATCAACCTTTGGGATTTTCATGAATGCTTATAAGAATCTTTTAATTAGGTTTGAACTTTGGAATCACACGTATGAGTCATTAAATGTGCATTTTTTTTAAAAAAAAAATTAAAGGTCACAATTATTACACAGACTAAACATTTTATTTAAATAACTGCAAAAAAAAAAACGCATTTGTTCACTACAAATGTATGAAATGAGATAGCAGGGGAATTTTTGGAGCCTTAGAATACGATTTTGATGTCACGATGATTAATAACTGAGTTGAGATTTTTCCTCAAGAAAAACCCAATTTTTCTGGGACACTAGGGGGAAAAAAACTAGACAAAATGTTGTTGTAGTTCATTTACGTCGCACTAGAGCTGCACAATGGGCTATTGGCGACGGTATGGGAAACATCCCTGAGGATGACATGCCATTACAATTTTGATCCTCTGCAGAGGGGATGGCACCCCTGTTTCGGTAGCCCGACGACCTGTACGCGAAGTTGAGCACTTTACGGCAGAACAGTTTAATGAGGACCCATACCGCACACCCTCGGTCTCTACGCAGACTAATCCAAGTGGTCACCCATCCGCCCACTGACCGCATCCAGTGATGCTTGACTTCGGCGATCTGCTGGGACCCGTGTCTTAACGATCAGTCCATTGCGGGACCTACATAAAATGGAAGAAACTAAAAAATGACCAAAGCATTTAATTGTTTGGAAATAGTTATCATAAGAATAGTTTAAACAGAATAAATTAAGGCAGCAACTGAGAGTTAAAAGTTTTAGCTTTGATATATAAAAAAAAATTCTGTCAACTTAATAAAGAAGTCAAACTATTAAATAGATTCATTTTCAACCTATTACCATATTAGGCGGAGAACATTTTCGCAAATTCTGAAAATATGCTTAGTTGTGGCTTAAATTTAAAAAAATTATAAAAAAAATACCCATTAGCAAAATAGTTGTTGTCTAAATTTTTTTTTGTAAAAGTAACTTTATTGTGTTTTAATCTTTAACTGTTAATCCTAAACGGCTCGGTACATATTTGAATGCAGCTCAGGCATATTCTGTGTAAATTCTTTTGATGACTGAATAGACATTGAACAGCCAGCCAATCGAGATCAATATTTGCATTAGTACAATGGTGTTTGAAGGAAATTGTAAGCTGCATCATACACCCGTTTCGGATTCACAAGTTCATACATCAAATATGATTTGAAAGCTAGGCTTTTTTTTTCAATCTAATACATATAATTCTCTTACGTGGCTCCCAAATTNAATGGTGTTTGAAGGAAATTGTAAGCTGCATCATACACCCGTTTCGGATTCACAAGTTCATACATCAAATATGATTTGAAAGCTAGGCTTTTTTTTCAATCTAATACACATAATTCTCTTACGTGGCTCCCAAATTTTGGCTGTACTTCTTTTCCGCCGGTGGCAACGTTTGCTTTGTTTTGTTTACGTTACTATTTCTCATACACGGCGAATCGACCAATGATTGCCGCTAAAAATGTCACATGCCAAATCTAGCTCTAGGTGGCTCAACATATAGCGCTTTTAGAAACGGAAACTGAAATAACCAGAGAGCATCAGCTGCAGCAATCTCATACTATTAAGCTAGGCAGAAGTGAGTAGTCTTTGTCGATAGATCTCTATTTAGTATTTTGTCGAAAGCGCTTTTTTTTTTACGAANATAACCAGAGAGCATCAGCTGCAGCAATCTCATACTATTAAGCTAGGCAGAAGTGAGTAGTCTTTGTCGATAGATCTCTATTTTAGTATTTTGTCGAAAGTGCTTTTTTTTACGAATTTATATATGTGGAATACAGATCTGACCTACGAAGCAACCATCCCAATCACGTGACATCAAGGACACTTACACCTACATTTTTTTACTTGTACACCATGTAGTTGGAATGACTGGCTCGAGAAGGAAGCCAGCAGAAATTGTAGCTTATTTGCCTATTATTGTTAATATATATTTTTATTAAGTTTAGCGTATCTCCTTTTAAATAAAACCCTCTCTTCACCCCCTTTATTCCACAAATGGGGGCTCGACCACGGGAATGTGGATTACGATTTGAATAGCCAACGAGTCAAGGTTCAGCTACTAGTGAACCAACATTTATTCTGCAAAGAAACCTTTGAAGTAGGTGACTTTCTATTTTTTTTCTTCTTTTTGTGAACATTGTGAATATGTATAAGGCATCAAAAACAGACTTGATAACTTTAACCCAAGAAATAAAAATTCCCACTCCTTCTAACGCTACAGTAACCGAACTAAAAACTATAATTGAAAATTCAGACGAATATAAAAAAGACCCGAACACAGTAAAGGAACTATTAGACGAAATTATAAACGCAAGGAAATTAATAGCTGACGAAGAATTAAAAATGCAACAACTTAATTTAGAACTAGAAAAAGTAAAATTAGCTAGAATAGAAAAAGAAATTCAACTTCAATCACTTAGTCAAAATGAGCGGGATATGAGCGTAAACAGCAGTTCTGATTTAACAAATTCGCATCAAGATTTAGAATCACTTATTAAAAGTATACGAACCTTAACAGTAACTGTTCCGAGAAATCCTGAAAATCTTGGCTTATTCTTTAATTCTTTGGAGCGAGCATTCAAAACCAAAAACGTAAAAGATTAACTTAAATCCGAAATTCTCATAGCAATTTTGCAAGAAAAAGCAAACAAAGCGCTTTTATACGTGGAAGAGGAATTAAAAAATTACCAAAAACTTAAATCATTAATCTTAAGAGAAAACCAAATAACCCCTCAACAGTGTCTATTTAATTTTCGCCACCAAAGAAAAAATTTTGATGAATCACACATTCAATTTGCAACATGAATTCGTTCAACTTTTGAGTATAATTTACGTCTGAGAGAAGTAAATGACTTTAAAACATTATGTGACTTAATCATTTCGGATAAAATCTATGAAACACTAGACAGAGACACATCCGCCCATATTGGCGTAAGACAGGCTAATGGTTGGATCAAGCCTCTAATAAAGTAAATAGGAACAATTGCAGCAAAAAGAAAAAAAAACGCATCACTATATATTGCTAACATTTTTACTATTTGTGTAATGCACCATTAAGAAATAAAAGTTAATAACTTCAACAAGGAATGAAAAAAAAATTGAGTGAATTAATACACTTATTATTAAAGTTTATTTGCACAGTAAAAAATTCAACTAGCACAATCTTATTAATTTATTTTTATATAGCGGAAGATTGCGGCGACCCCCTGTATTTTGAGGGTCAGAAACTCGACTCCTGTTTGTTTTAGAAAAATAACGTTTTTGCGTCTGATTATGAAAATTAAAATATCGTCTACACAAATAACCACGTTTAAAGTTACCCCCTGGGAAAGAGTTTGAACGTGAAAGTCCGATCATTGGGAGAAAAAGTTATTCAAAGTGGTTTGATTTTTCTTTGCGCACTGCACTTCATGCATATAAATTAATAAAAACTTAAACTATTCACATATTTCTGAAATACAATTTTTACTTCAATTAAAATTTAAACTTCTGAAGCTTGAAGACATGAAAATATCTTTTAAATATCGCTGTATCCATCATACAACTTGTAGAAGGTAAGAAACTGATTGTTTCTGTCACAGTATCTGTTATAGCATCTATCTTCTATATTATATAAAACGCTAATACGTACGTATGTATGTATGTATCAATAAAACCGATGATATTTCTTTTCTCGCGCTGGCAACATTTTTCATTTTTAATTGATTGGATTCGGCGCGCAAGAGCACGTAGTGAGCAACCAGATAACAATAACCAGAGTGAGCATTATCTGGTTGTTCAATTCAGATTCATGCACTAAAAACATGACA